AGTATCTCGAACCAGAGATCGGTGTACAAATTTAACTGTCTCACGTAGACTAACAAATTAATTTCTTTAAGAAAAATTATAATTTCGCACTAACATCCCGCGACGGCTCTCTATGCCTTTCTATTGTATTATTTGATAGTTATCATTTGAGCCTTTTCTTTATATGTGTTAGATTGTTTTAAAAAAAATAATTTAATAGAATATATTAAATATTGTTAATAAATCGTCTGATATAAAATATTACTTAACTGTCTTCTCGTCAAATAAAATCAAAGTGAAGCTATCTGGCATGCGAAGGACATGTAGTTTCTTTTTCTTGCAATTTCTTTCTATTGAGAGACTAGAAATACGTTTTTCGGTGGGTTCGCATATACTATGACAAAACAATTTGGCAAATCGTCGAATGAATCACAATACTGAGTGAAATATAAGAGGGCGAAACTCCCCGGTCACTGTGACAATAGGATTGTCCAGTGTTGGTCCAACTTAAGAATAACTATGTGAATCTAATTGTATACGGATCGTACGTCAAGATTTTCTAGTTTGACAACGTGATGTCTTCTTAGAATGTTGTGAGCATCAATAGGAAAGGTTGATTTTTAAGATGACCGTAGAAAAGCGATTGGAAACGCGTACCTTTCAATTGCCTTTACAGAGTGTATCACATTTAACTATAGGAGAGACTGAATAAACCGGTACCTGAATCAGCGGAAAATCACAAGCTAGATTTGCTACAAAGTTTACGTTTGCACAGTAATTAACTTTTTTACAGTTATTTCTTCACTGAATAAAAGTTAGTTTGAAGTTAAATTAAGTCCGACGTTTTTTATTCATTGCATCATTCTGTTCAACTTTTTATCGTTTTTTGTCCAAATTTACTCAATAAAAGTTCTAGAACAAACCTAACCAACCGCATGAATATTTAATGTTTTCCGCGCGCAAACATCTGCTCGCATGCAGCTTGGAGTTTACGATACGGACTCGCGTGGAATTCCATAACTAGATAGGAGAAATAGCAAGAGCACAGCGAGTAAGAGGCAACGATATATAGGAACAAAGAGAGGCGCGTACGCGGCTCTGCCACCTGTCCCATCGCAGTCTAAGAATAGAGCAACGCAACAACGTTGAGAGCAGCATCGTCGGCAAGATGCTGCATGCTTGCCGGGTCATGCGCCGACTCTCTTCTTTCTTTTTCTCCTCCTTACTCTCTCTATTCTCGGAGGTGAGAGTCGGCCGCCTCTCTTTCAACGTTTCCCCCGTGTCGGTTGACTTTCTTCAGGGCGCACGGCTAATGAGAGAAAAAATCAGAAAATAATTGCTACCACCTCGCGCCGACTCGCCCAACGGCGGTCTTCGAACGTGTTGCCTTCAGGACAACGTCGCGCCAGTCACCGCTGTCTTTGGCAAATGATTGAAACATACGTGTCTCGCGTAAACTTTCGAGATATCTCTGCACGGTGGGGACGATCAAAGAAAGAGAGAGTGCCGATTCTCGGTATTCTGCGTTATGTTATGGGTGTTACATAAAAAAAAAATTTGCAAAAAAATTTTATCGCAGATTTTAGGAAATTTATATCGACAGGTGTGTACATACGTGTAAAAGAATCTAAAATTCAGAGTTATCAATTACAGAAGTCTCCTTAATTTCTTCCACATATTTCATTCTGTCTTGCCAAGAAATTGATTATTATTTTATTTGTTTTTATCCGCCAACCCTTGAAAGAGACGTAACACGCCGCGATGTTGTAAAGACATACGCGCATGGCCGACCCTGATCCGCCGGTAGACCGACAACCTTTCGAATCCCTTCGGCGTCGAGGATTTGCAATTTTTACGAGCCATAATCTTAACGAATCGCTAATCCCGCGGAATGACGACTATTTTTCAAAGTGTCTTCCTTTTTTCGGTTCGCTGCGAATCCTTCCACCGCTACGGGCACGGAATCTTGGTCGCGAATTCGGCGTCGTATATTCCTTATGGCCCTATATATTTGGCGGACGACCGGTATTTAAGTCTTTGTAATCCGGTGAAGTTTTGCGGGGGAGCCAAGCGGTGAGTCATGGCAGGTGCTGCTTGAAGAACGAAGGAAAGATGAGGCGAAGATCGCGAATCCTCGCTCCCAACGAGCGCATCTTTCCTCTTCTCTCGAGCTTTTCAGCCGCTTAATGCCGCGGTATGAACATCGCGTCAACAAGGAACGCTGATATTTATCGCCAATATTATATTTGACAGTTGTAACTTTGAAATTTTCTCAGCAGATTGGAGCTTGTTCTTCGAATGACCGAGGGAGCAACGGAATGCAAAATGTCAAGCGATAGGGAACAATTGATTTCGTGCGATCCTGCGATTCACGATGACTCGGATGTCGTACTTGGGACTTTTCATGCACTCGAATCCTTATACGCCTCCATCGCGATGTCTGTCTATGGGCGAGCGTATAAATTACCCTGACAGCAGACAAAATACTCCGTCCTGCGTGGTTCCTAGATCTGCTAGTGATATCTTCACTAAACGAAGTGCCACCCAAGGTGTTAGTCAGCTCGAGATGGTGCAGCCAGATAGACGACACCATCCCCACCGCATTAGCCACTTTGCGGTTGAAAGGTGCAACTTGAAAAACATACATAGGAAGATAGGAAATGCGCGATTTCTGGGTGAAAGTGACGCTCCAAGTGTCGTCGAGAAAAGTCAAGGGAAAGCGAGATAAAAATCTTTGAGGAGATTCAAAACTGCCATAAAAAAACTACGGTAGAGCACTATGTTTAACGTTTGTAATAATTGTTTACGTATACATAGACGTATAATAATGATAACATAAATTTTGTTAGCGTGATATTGTTAAGTCGATAATAATTTGCATTGCTTTATCGCAATTATATCGCGTAAGCTGATTATATTGTCGCAAGTACGATATAATAATTACTGCGGAAGCGTGCGAGTGCACTTAGAATTCTATTCATGATGTGGGTCGTTTTAATTTTATATCACCTGTCAGTTTAAAATTACAATTGATCACAGACGTACAATGTTCCTCTTGCGATCAATTTCGACAATGGCCGGTAACATCACACGGAGAAAGGGCGCTTTTAAAAGCGAGTGCATCGCTGGCACAATGGTGTCGGTAGCCGCAATGAGGCAAAGAGATGGGGAAACGCACTTTCAGGAGCAAGGAGGAGACTGGGCACAGGTGCGGTTTCTGACATGCTGCTCGTGCCGCGACGAAGCGCAATCGTATGTATACGTCCCGTCGTGATTGTTCCGCGAACGAGTGGTTGAAGAGTATAAGCGCGCAGAATAAAAGAAAAATAAAGGACGACGAACGCATCCACGATCAATACATTGCCCCGCGCACTGTAAAATCGTTTTTATTTTGCGGATTACCTTTCCTTTCGCTATGCATGTATAACGACGTAGTAAAAAAAGTGAGCATTAAAAAATGTTTATGGTAGCTAAGTAGAATAAATAGTTCATTTGCATAAAGTGTATTTAAAATGTCAGATAAGCGCGATATCCCGCAGACGTCGCGATATTGCCCGTGAAATAAATTACATGGGGCGCAACCGCCGTTTCTGCGCTCGTGCCGTTTCGCAATTGCAATTGCACGCTCGTGCCGCGTCTCTCTTCCGAGAAGAGGGACGACGGAAAATACGACTCGCGCAAGCGGGAACGAAGCGGAGATCGACAAAGAGGGGTAGATGAACGGGAGAAGTTACGGGAGATCCGTGAGCGGCGGCGCTATCGCAACCGTGTCTCACGGCGTGTTCGATCGAGAGGGGCTCTCGGTGCTTACCTTCGGCTCGCCTACGGCGAAGGTAGAGGTGTAGCCTTGATGCCTTAGTACCGCGGCGGTAAAAGGGGAGAGAGAGAGAGGGAGAGAAATCTCGGAGAACTTTACGACGAGCGCGTGGAGAATGCCGCGCTTGCCGAGGATTCCTTAACCTTTAGCATCGGCGGCGCGCCTTGCTTCTCGATTACGATCGATCGAGACGCATCGCGAGTATCGTGTACGTGGAGAAGTGGAAGGTCTTGTTGCAAGATCGAGGTAACATTGTTTCTGCCGCAAGGCTTATTGTGCTGCGATGTGTCGAGCGGCGAGACAAACGAATATTTTCTTCTGCAATTACAATTCCACATTTTTACCGAATTCAATTGCTCTTTAATGATTGCGTCGTGATATTGCGAAACATTATCGGTATTACGAATTCTTTAATTTTGCACCTGAATATGCGCCTGAATTAAAGAAAGCTGCTTTACTAGATCGCTACGATTAATCTTACCGCGAATGGAGCGCCGCAAAAAGAGAATACAGCATTAGTCCGATAAAAAGAATGAGCTTTGAGAAATTCACTCGAGGGATTCCTCGAGCGCTACCGAGCGCTAATGCGCCCCCGCGTGCTCGCGCGGCCGCAAAAAACGCTGAATCCTCGGCGGAAGAAATAGAGCGAAAACGAGCGAACGAAGATGGCCTCGGGGGCCATAACCGGGGAACAATGAGGGAACCGCTCGTGACAGCCTCCGGTGGAACGCGCGCGTGATGTATGCTTGGTCAGAACTCCGCAACGAGATGAAGTCTGATTGCACTCCCGCGCACTCTGCATGCCCATTACAACTACTGTTAAGCGGCAGCTGTTTCGATGCGCGGCTTAACTCGAGACCGCACCTCGGCGTACGGATGATGAACAGATAGAGAAGATATTTAAGAAGATTTATGAGCTCCCGGTAATACCTCGAGGCCATGAACCACGGCGGTGTCATCTTCGCATCGGCGCGGAGCCCGGATGGGAGCGCTGTTGTTGCTTTGATTTTTGCGCCAGCGGCTCGCTGCACACTCGCCCCGCGCGAAATGTGATGCCGCATCGAGCGGCTGATGAACGCATTTACGCAATTTCTCAAACAAATTTCATTGAACTACGGATGCACTGTTGCGTACCGTATATATTGTGGAATATTTACAATTCTGTCAATGATGCGTTAAAAGCGTACTTTAAAATGCATCTTACCATGTCCTCCAGCACCCGATGCTGCTCCCGAGTCTCTTCCTCCTCCTTTCAGTGATTTTCAAGCACTCACACGCGTTCGCGACGCAGAATCGCACGGCACTTTACTTAAACGGCACTCCCAACGTCGCAGGCAAATCGAACCAAATTGTTCAAGCTGCAACGTTACACGCGAATTCCGTCTGCGTTTCAGATGATCGCATTTACCAATTAAAATGCGATTCTCTCAAAATAGAGGGAGAAATTCAAAGAAAAAAATTTCTCAAAAAGGGTTTAATCGTGTCTCAATATTTATCATTCGAAAATGCGTTCATCCATACGATTCGCTGGAATACGGCGTTTCGTATTCGCGCGAAACTATCACGGCACTTCCGGCATAACGACACTCCCGCACTCCCGACGTGTGTTTTACTACGTTACAAAATTACGGCGGAACGAATATGATGATTCGAAACACGACACCAAAGTACATTAGCTTCTCCTTCAGGATAAATCCGAGTACTGAACTTTCCCACCACGATGTACCCATGGGAGGGAAAAGATACATTTTACTGTAAAATGCAAAGAAAGAATAATTTCAGTAAATACTAGTAAAGTTATTAACGCAGTATTTAAAGTACTTGCTATTTTGTATTATAATGTACAAAGTGAAAAAATACAATTCAGACAAAGTATAATTAAAAAAAAATATATAAAAAGTATAATTCAGAATAAATAGCCGCGGAATAAAAATCCAAATAGTTATACGAGGAAGCTGGCTAATAACAACGCGAGAGTTTAAAAGACACTCTCGACGCGATAATGTTTCGACCGTGAAAAAGCTTGTAATCGAATTTTTATGGATCTTATCTCAGGCGCATTCATCCGCCCTTAGAGTACGTCGGCTCGCGCGGTAAAGCATAGACAAGGCGTAATCTAAGCCACGCGAGGTCTCCGTCGTTGCACTGACTTGCCTCTCATTATCTCAGCGAGGGGGACTGAGGCCTTAAATCAACGTCTCTTGCGACAATTAACTCGCTCGTGTGAGTGAATAGGGGTGGGTACACCTAGCTCAGAGTGAATCACGCGCGCCACCACCTGCCGGAGCGTGACCTCTTAATGTGCATAGTGAGAGGGAAGAGGCCTCTTCGACACCGGCGCGAACACCAGCGAAAGGTTCTTAAAAAATGGTTTCTTATATCAGCAGATGCATGCGAGGAACAGTAAATCATCTTTCTTCATTTGCCAAGCTTAATTAAATTACGTGTTGGATTAACTCGAACGGATTATTTCAGCTTTTAGTTGTTACCAGATTAAACTGCTGCAGAATCTTTTATACCCTTTTAAATTGCACACGATTATTCATATTTCAGATATAAATAATGCTTAATATATCACATATAGATATATATAAATATGAATAAAGAATTGTTCTTTATATAATATTCAGTCTACGCCACTGGTCGCTCGATCTTTTGCCTTATCCAGTTCTCTCTCCCTCTGTCCATTTTCTCGTTCGGTATTCTGGAGGAGGTAGAAGATAATGGAAAGGAAAAGAGAGTGTACTATTCCTTTTATAATCCACTCTAAGGGCTCCCCTCCCTTACGGCACTCGCCATCCTATTCGAGACCGAATGTAATAGCTCTGACACACATCCACTACTACACATACCATACATGTCCTCCATGTAATGTTCGGATGAGGCTGGACGCGTTGAGCATCCAACGAAAGGGCCTGGGAAAATGACTGGATAATCGACGTACTACCACGTGCTACCATCGACGCAACGCTCGCTTCTATCTCGAACGCAAGCGGGGTCACAGGTCATTGCTATAAACCCACCAATGTTATTACAGGTGCATGTGAAAATGTCGCGTTACGCTCTCGCGTCGCGGTCGTGAAAACGGGAGAGGGAAGCGCGTCGAATCGTAACTCGCCCGGTAGGGTGAAAATTGTTTTCCTCCGCGCAGCGTGATACAGCATATTGCCTATGTAACGAGATAAACTTCTTTCAGTTTGCCGCCCGCGGACATTCATATGCTATTTTCAGCAATTCTTCAACGTTTGCTTTACACAGCGTACATCCCTTTTCATCGTTTTGTTAATGTCCAACTGTCGTAGTTGTCAAGAAATCTGGGCCACTTCGGATCATGTTATCCACGTTGGCCACTTATCTTCCTAGAGGACGAAGCTAAGTAGACGAGAAAGATCGCTAAACCCTCATCCGTCATCGGTCGTCGGTCCGCCAATCACGAGACAGCGCCAACGGTTCCGTGAGTGCCATCGGCGTAATCATTTACTCGCCGCGTTGATTAATGGTAAATGCAACGTGCATTTTGACGAGCTGAAACGCAACACCGGCCTCCATGCAGACGGGCGCGCTTTTTGTCCCCGTCCTGAAGTCCGACGGACGCACGCCTTGTTCAGCGCGACAAAGACCATAAGCGAGTTTATGTCGGCCATTGGCTTCAAGCATTCTCGATGCTCATTCAAGGAAGTAAGATCATAAGTCTTACGGATGTAGCAGCTCGATATTCAGTCCTGGGACAACCGCGCATACGTTTCTTAATGAGAGTGAAGTGCAATAAATCGTTTGCCATTGTTTTCGACCTAGCAAAGGCAACTAAATTATTAAGATAATCAATATTGTCTCATCACAGAGATTCTCGAAATACATAGGGAAAGGAACTATCAGTAAATAGAAAATTAGAAAACATCGCGTTAAACCAACAGCCAGAGAATTGACGCATTATTATTATTATTACCAAAGTTATAATTTTTGAAAATCTTTGTTTCACAATTTTTCAGAGCATTATTCTTTATGGTTTGTATAAAAAAAACGACAGTGTCATGAATGATAGCATAGTAGCGAGTTTCGTAATTTATTGGCAAACGAATACCATTTTTTACGGCATGATCGATTTTACAACGACACGGTCTTCCGGTGACAAGTATTGAATTTCGTGCGCAACACGAAAGAGCGGAGAGAGGCAAAGAGGTGGGCACCTATCGAGAGGAGATTTACGTAACGGCTCATGCGCTCATGACGGAATGCGTGTCAGTCTGCGTGCATCCGGACATTCGTGTGGAGCCGCGGTTTTGGGCACCTGCTCGTGGGCCGTGACCCCTTATGCGTGCACGAAAGAAGGAGTGAACGGGCCTCCCGAGAAAAAGAGTGTCCCGGAGCATGGAGGGGCGGGGGGAGATCAAGAGAGACGGCCGGCATCCTTTGCTGATTGACGAGCGCTGGAGTCACTGAGATGTGCCCGAGAGACGGAGCAATAAAGCACGTGCGCGCATAAACGCGAGAGAACGATCTCGAGAACGAAACACCTGCCTGTTCCGTCCGTGGATACGCTCAAAGGGAGCGGTTCTCGGGGGGGGCATCGCGACCGCTGATACATATTCATCCTCGAACGAAATAACTCGGCGGAGCTCTGCTATCTGTGATGACGATTTGTATAAAGTAATAGAAATTGATTAGATCGCTCTATTTTTCTACGTATCGATACATATATCAAAGCAACTGATTTTTTTCCCGAAAATTTTCATAAAACAATTTTATGCTTTTCTATATTTTTTGCGCCGGCCGCATTTTATGACAAACACGAGCATACTCGTTGAAAGAACGAATAAAATAAATTATTACGTCTAGCACGGATCAAGTTGTCTCGCTAGCAATTTTCACGATTCACGTGTCTCATTAAAAATCCACCGCTCCGAAATGGTTTCTGCATACCTGTTCAATAAAAAAAGCCGTAATCGAAGTATCCGGGTTATACGATTAATGAATAAATAAAAGCCGCTAGTAGTAGCTTCTACCTTCTACGATTATCCGTGTAAATGCGAATTTAATAAAAACTGTACGTTGTACATTATAGATAAATGCGATGTTGGTCTTCGTGATTATTGGCATAATGCAGTGTATACGAGGTGTATTAAAATTTGCATTACAAATTTTGTAATTTTTTTAGAAAAAGGAAATCGTCGGTGTGATTAAATTTTTATGTATATATGTAAAATTATGTACTATCCTCTGATTTATTATACTTGATTCACTGTATATTTACACAAGTAACTCTTGAATATTGTTATAAATAAATTAATATTTTAGAATCGCAAAATAAAATATTCTTTTAACAGGATGCATGTCATTAAAGTACAAAAATAAATTGTACGATTAATTTTACGCTCATTGAAGAAATAAATGTCTTTTTGACTTAATTATTTTATAATCGGTCGTATTTGATGAGCATTCTGTAAATGTGTTTGCGCATTGACAATCGTAAAGCCTGATATTAAATCATGGTCGTACCGTGATTGGAAAAGGAAAGGGAAGAAAGTCACGCAACGCGACGCAGGTGTTCGCAAAGATTCAGAAGAGAGAGGCACGCGCAAGGAGATTCATAGCGCGTGCGCGTGAAAGTTGCTTGCCTGCCTTCTGTATCAGGTCGATTGCCCTCTCGATCCCCCCCATATCCTCGACGGCAATCGAGGCACCGAGCAACGCGGACGTGCGAATGGACGCCGTTTAATTAGAATTAATGCGGTTGCCCGTCATTCCCGGGTATCATTCTTCCGCGGGTATCATAGCGTGTTGAGCAAAAAATAGCATTTAACCAGATCGGTCGGTGATTAGCTTTTTTCATGATTGAAGAGATTAAACTTCAATCATGAATAAATGAAAAGCGACCGCTACCATCGATGTTGGTGATTGAGACTAGAGTTTTTGAAATTGGAGTTACTTTAAGAATTTACTTTTTAATATTTTGTTTATATAAGATTCGATTGAATTGATAAACACAACAATTCGAATCCCTTATCTAAATTAGCAATAAACTTTTAATCTTTCCATAAAATTTCTTAAGAAGTGCTGTATATCAATCTTTATTAAGAGAGTAATTGTAGTAAAGCCGAATTTTCAAAATCATTTATACCACGAAATTTGACTCACAATCAGTTTGTCAGTGGCATTCGGTACGCTGCGGTGGTAATTAATGATAGTATTTATTAAACGTCGCCGTGTTAATGATCTTTACTTGTCACGCATGCAGATAACGTATGAGATCGTGGACGATTACGTTCCGTTAAATTGAAATTCTGTCGGTCGGCATACGCGATGCTTTCAAGTTGCGTCGCTACGTCAGACGATTTATATTAACGGGCCGTTAATTAACGTCATCTCATTGAAACCGGTTCGCTTGTTGCCGTCACACAGTGTTCAGCGTTTATTGAGAATTTACGTGTAATTATGTAAAAATATTGTGATTAAACGAAAACATTACGTGGATATCGATGCTTAATACGCATAAATGATTAAAATTGTTCGATGAGAATAATTAATTAACTATTCATCATGCACTCGAAATACGGATATTTATTGATATTAATGAAAGAAATATGCATTTGGTTATTATTGAAACATTATCGTGCCGTTTATGAAATTAATTAATAATCAACAAAATTACATTGACCATATTTGATATTTCAAAATAATGTTTTAAACATGTGTGTATCTCGTGATACGAATAATTTGATGAAAGGAGCTGTAGAAAATGTTGACATGTAGAT